GCATTGCTTTTGCAATCACACCACATTCAATCAGTCTATATGGTAATTGTCTAAATAAACAAAACACACCAAGATTTCCTATGCCATTTGCGATGCATGATTTATGCTTAAGATGCATTCATGTGCAAACCATCATAAAAATGAATTTGCTTGAGTGCGTGTATGTGTAGATATGTGTCTCCTTTACTGTGGCAATGCAAATGTAGTGGAACCGTCGTTGAGCTCAGCGAGAGAATATCAACGGGTGTGCAATGAATGTGTCTCTTGCGACCAGACCAGATCAGAGATCGAATAACATCCATTGTAAGAGGGAGAAAGCGTGCGTGTTTATACAAAAATGAACAAGTAAATTAACAATATTTTATTGTTATTCTTCTGAGAAAGTGCGCTCTATTGCACTATCGCCACCATCACACCGAAAAAAAAAGCCACACACCGAAGAAGAAGAAGCCGATCAAATGGCATTATACAATGTGCAATATTCAAAGACTCTATTTACTCTTGTTGTCTCTGCGCATAAATATGGTATTTGTTTATCGAAGAACAGAGATAGATGAGCAGCAAATACGCTAGTCAATAGCGCGTAAATAAAACAAAGACACAAAAAGGAAACCATACATGACATAAAAATACCGACAGGCACCATCCAAATGATGCGCACCGTCTTCGACAGCCACCCAAAAAAAATGACAGAGAGCCGAACACACAAAAATCTAACCAGATGTAGCCAAAAACCTTGTATCGATCTCGCTCATTCACGCACAAAAGGCACAAAATCTATCATCTTCCAAACAACCACACACACATACATACGCAATGCATAAAAACAAAACAATCACAGAAATATGAAATAATCGAAATACGATGAACAAATATACATGGCAAATGGGCTCGCGGACGAAAAGTAAACGCAGCAGCGGAGAGATCATAAAAAATATTGTTTGGATTTGTTTAGTTTGATGTGTACCGAGTTCACTGTGAGTTGTTGTTTTTTGTCTCTCTTCGGTCGCTCTTTTCTTTTTCGAATTCTTTTTCAGACTATTATTCTTCTCTTTCACTATGTGTGTGTGTGTTTTTTTCTGCTTCTACAAATGTTTGTCGTTTTGCAATTTGAGGTGACACCGCTGGCTTTTCATTTCGCAGTTATCTGTTTGAGTTGAGAGACAAGCAAAAAACCGTGTTGACTGTTTTTCATATAAAATTTCTATTTAAAGAAGATTTTCAGATTGATTCGATGGTAGCAGCTTGCATTTATTTTTCATTCTTTTCGTCTTCTTTTATGTGTTTTGAAATAAAACCATCACTTGTGCGTCGTGAATTAAGCAGAAGAAAAAAAAAACCATACCTACAAGAAACAGAATGGTAGGAGAAGCGAAAAAAACACACACACACAATAGTCAAACTGTGTGAGCTCATCAGTAAAAACGCAAATATTATCTAACGCATTTGTGACCCTTATGTCTCAATCGCGTTCGAATAAACAACCATGAAAGCTGTAATTGTTAATTTTTTTCTGTCTTTTTTATTCTTATTCGACTTTGCATGGTCGCGCTTTTTGTCATTTGCGACGATGGCATGTGCGTGCTCGCACATATAAATATGAAGAATGACAACAACAAAATAACACACAGCTAAAGAAATATTTTCATGCAAATGGTGTCTGAGTCAATATTATATATACTATTTTGTAATTTGTTTGCGAGCCAGAATAAAAAAAAAGAGAATTACACAAACTCAAGCAAAAACATCGAATCGGATTCATACAGCGACATTCGTAAATTATAGCCAAAGTAAATGAACATTGCATTGAATTTATCCGGTTAGTAGAAGTATAAATCCAGTGAAAAACATGTGTCGCCAAATAACAAACTCGATCTCGGCACAAACAAGACACACACACACAAATTCACAGCGAAAACTTTTTCCAAACAAAATTTAACGTCTCTTTCCGTGGATTTTATTAGTTTTCTATTTTATTTACTTTTCGTCAACTCTCGACTATCCCGACACATATATAGTTACTGTGTCTACCATTTCCAATGTGAGTTCGGTCCCTCGCTCTCTCTCTCTCTTCAGTAATCGTCGTTTATCCTTAGAGCTGTTTCATTATTAATATACTGCTATTATTATCTCCGAAAAAAAGTTTTTTTTCTGTTTCTATTCAAGATATGCTCAATAAAACAATAATGGTGCACATGGTAACATGAAACGGAAACCACTGTTGGTTGTGTGTTTCCGATTTTGGTTTAAAGTTTGAGTTCATTTTCGTTGTGTGCAAAATAATTTTTCAGATTCGTCTTTTTTATCTAATTAGGAACAAGTGTTTGCAATCGAGACTTTTGACTCGTAACAGAAACATCCTCATTTGAAATTCTGTCATTGTCATTGTGACAATTCACTTCGAAACTGAGAATGACACGAACGCAAAACGACGGCAAAGAATGAAATTATGTGTACATCGTGCAAATAAAATAGTAAATGAAACTGAATTGAGTGGTAGAAATTGATGGGCAGCAAACTAAAATCGCCGCTGGTATTTGATATTGTGGTTTGAATTGAAACAAAACAATCACAAGAATAGGATCCCCGTTGAAACCGTGCGCGAGATAAAGTCTATCTCACTATACATGGATGCGTGTGTATTTTTTGTGAGATTTCAAATGCCAGCGGCAAATGTGATAGAGTCGTGCAGTGAATCAAAAACCAAAATGATATTGCTCCCGACATTAATGTAATTTTATTTAAATGACTTCAAACTGTGTCGCACTAATGCAATGCGCGCAAGCACCTATGCGCGCCTGTACTCATCATGATTCCGTCTGATTCGCATCTGAATTAAAATTGGTAGTGGAAAAAAAATCATGCTGATCAAATGGTTTAAATGAAGATGTTTCAGCATTTTCACGTTAATTTTAACATTGTCAAACTGCGAATTAAATAACACACCAAAATAAGATAAAAAATTGATTCAAGCATCACAACTCGTGAATTGTGTTCCATGTTTTTAGTTGGCATACAAGAGAAAAAAGAGATGTGAAATCAAATTGAGAATGGGTGAAACAGAGAGTAAAGTTAAGTGAATGAGTTTTTCGATTTGAATTGTTTGCGACATAGGATTAGGAGAGTTTTGCTGTGATGACAGCCTCAGTGAAACAATTAGGCAAATGTAATGTGCGGCAAAAACTCTTAATGTCATTTGCAACATTTACACAAAGTTGTTGTTGTTTTTTTTTCGGTCTCTCTTCATCGTGTCATAATTTCTTGGTTTCTTTCCCATCTTCATCAAATTCGGGATTTATCTTGTTGTCAGGATGAAACATTTCATCTAAATCGCTTTTCACTTACAGTGACAACAGACAAAAACCTCCGCCTTCTTCATGTTTCTCAATTCAGCTTGATTTCGTTTACTTTTTTTTTCTTTCTCGCGCTTGATGCTGCTGCTTTTGGTGTTACAATTTGCTGGATCGTCATCTTCAAGGAATATCAGCCTGTCATATCAACGGAATGAAAACTGAAACTTTCATATTACACATTTTGTGGGTACTTGAGTAAGCAAGAGTGTGAGCGAATGAGCGCTAAAAATGCGTCAACGTCAGAAACGAATGCAAACATTTTTTTCCTTCTTTTTTTTCAAAAAAAAGAAAAAGAAAAAATGATGACTTCCAACCCGAAACATACAATTATGGTATTTTGAATTTTCCCATTCACTTGCCTTGCATTATGCCATCGCCTAACGCTTATCGCAAACAAACGCTTTTGAAGCAAAAGACTGTCGACCTCATGTCGATGGCTGGTGATGTGATATGTGTTATGTCGTATATATGTGTTGCACGAAACATTTTCCTTAATTAAGGTAATGTTGTTTTATCTCTCGATGGGACATAATAAACATGAAATATTCATTTTCATTCATATCCGACATCGCATTGTGCTCTTCACTCGTTTATACACCGTTGTCGTTTGCCTTCGAAATTATTTCAGCTCCAAACAACACACAACACACATTCACAATTCACATAATCTAACTAGAAAATTCGTCAGAGCCAAAATATCATCAACCGGACGATTTAACATTTGAGGTATACGAGAGTGAGAGCGAGAGAGAGAGCTCATTAACAAAGACACCGTTAACACACAAACTATGCAATTTTCGGAAATATACACATATGCAAACGCTTGGAAGGGCTGCTAAGTGGCTGAATCCGTTTCACACTTTTCTTTTCCGCATCACGTTTTGGTGTGCTTTCTTTGTGGCTTTTCTGGGGGGGCGAGATTTATTATTAAATCATTTTCCGAATGAATGTCACCTATACACATACGCACAATGTATGCACAACGTAACACAATATGTACTGAATTAGAAATGAGATGTGTTCTATGATGATTATAAGCCAAAAATATGAAATGTTATTTTTTTTTTTGTTTACAAAACAAATTTTTTTCGTTACATTAGCAAAATGATGGAACAACATATTCCACTAAATATTGCAACACACTGAAAATTGTATGAACAATTTTGAATTTCAACTCTCGGTGATGTAAAAACTCTTGAATTTGAAAACACTCCAGACTATTTTTGTTCGTTTCGTTTTCAAAGCAGAGAAATCTCTCTGTTTCGAAATGGGACGCCACTTTGAGATGAAGAAAATCGATTGTTTTAATGAACAACGATGAATGAAATGATTTTCGCGTGACATTTCATAGATGAAACACATTTTGAAACAATTAACATGATCAAGGGTTAATACAGACTCAGCTAATCATTTCTTTAAAGCAACATTCATTGCTTTTCTGTATTTATTTATTTTTTTGTTTGATTCTTTATGGTTGTTGTTCGCATTGCTTAACAATTATAATTAATAAACATGATGTTTTAATGGCAAACGCGCTCTTGTGCACGCCTTTCACATTTGAATACTCAAAATGCGATCGCCAATTGGTACTTCAGTTTTCATCGAAAAATTAACACTTATAATTAAATAAATTAATGGAACACATACTTTGTGTCAACAGTCTTTTGAAAATATTCCACAAAATCACCAAAGAAATGGATGTTGTTGCTGTGAAAACACACTATAATAGATCACACTTTTTTCGAATTAATTTTCTTCGTATTTTGGCTGCCAATGATTTTATTTCTATTGCGTTGATTACAGATTTGTTGCTTATTTCTTTCTTTTTTTGTCTCACACACACCGTAAATTTTGAAAATTCCAATTAAATTCTATGACGTTTTTTTTCTTTAGCAAATTTTTAACACTGAATGTTCACGATAAAATACACCGAATTCGAATAAATGCTGAATCAAAACAAAACCTCTATTTCTTCGATCACTTAACTGTTTCTATAGTTTAAAATAACGATGCGTGAAGAATCGTTTTCGATCGAACATTTATAATCAATTTTTTTTAATTTTTCGAACAAAAAAAATCGTTACATTTTCAATAATCACTTTGTTTTCTATTATAGTTTTAATTTAAAATGGAACAAATTTTTTACACTCAGTCAGAACGGTAAAAATAACATTTGAATCTAATGCATTGAGCGAATACGAAATCCGTCAGTTTCGATAAAATGCGATGTGCTTGAATAGAATAAACTCGCGCGCGACTCGCTTGTCATTCCATAGCATACTGAAGTGAAGTAATGTTCTTGTAAACATCGATACCCAAGCATTGTACATCGAGGCAAGCAGCAAGGAGCCGCTTACCAATAACAACAACAACAATGAATGCAGACGACGGAGAATGGTTACAGCCGCGCTTTACAATATCACACTCACACACTCTCAACTATGTGTATTCCTATCATGCAAACGGCAAAGCAGACGACTAGCATTCACAACAACAATTTCAACAGCGTCAGTAGCAGCAGCCAATGATTGTGTCATACAAATACGTGTGTGATGTTGCACGCACGCACCATTCCAATTGGAAATGAAGTGAGCTATTCAATCGTTTACAGTTCATTCATATGTTCCGTTCACCGTTTTCCTTTTGTCTATCAATTCGTATTCGAGCGTTTCCCCTTCAACAGTACGTTCGCTTCGGCGACGTTCGCACGACATTCGGTTTTCGATGCACACACACACACACATATCATTTCATAGCCGGCGTGTATCTGCTTACAATATTTTTGTACACAAATTCGGTGTATGGTGTATGCTCTTATCACAGCACCAGATCGTGCATTGGGCGCATCGTGCATGTTTAGTAACCGTTTAGATAAAGTGAATTGCAAGTTAATTTCATGCAACGTTCATTCCAAAGAATACAACAAATATTGGTGCTCTCCTCCGGCTGATTTTGTATGTCGGTCGGTTATCATGGCTGGGGAAATATAGCGATACTGGAATAAGTCGGAGAGGAGAGAATGTGGCATAATATTCTGGAAAGCGGCGAAATGAATGAAAATGGAGAGAGAGGTACAGATGGAAGTATATTGGAGAAGTGTTAAATTCGCGCCTATCACTGGTTCAAATAACTCGCGTTGTTGAACCGTGTGAAATGCATACGGCAGTTATCATACGGGACACATAATCAATGTTTGCTAGTTCTTTTTTTTTATCTCGATGCTTGCATGTGTACAAATCAAATCGAATTTCCATTCCTTTCAATCGCTAAAGTCAAGAGTGGTACACCAGCAGTTAATATTGTAGGAAAAAAATACATCTATTGCAGAGAAAGTGAGAGAGAGAGAAAGAGATGAAAAAAATCCTTTGGTTGTGGATTTTTGCATGACAGCGTTTATTTGAACATCGGCAAGTGTCATGTAAACACATGTTATCAGTGGCTCGTAATGAAAATTGAATCGACTGATGAAATGATGCCCCCCAACAAATGAAGTCAACCACTACTTCTTTTTTTTATTGGAATAATTAATTTCATTTATTTTATATATTTTTTCAACTTGAAATCACGCTCGACGACTGGCTCTCTTCATTTTACCATATATATTTATTTTTTTCGTTTCGTTCTTTATTGGTTCTCCAGAATTGCAATTATTAAACCTAGTATAGTTCTTTTCGAGTGCTTGAAGCATGCCAATTTGCACGATGGCAAAGTAGTAATTACGAATGCAAACTGCTACTTTAGCTTCACTTCATTTGTTGTTGGTTTTTTCTCTCTCAACATTTGCATTTGCCGTTGTTGTTGTTGTTAGTGTGCACAAAAGTGATCAAAGGCGTAAGTGGCACGAAAATCAAATTATAGAGCGATAAATGACGGCATCCGATTATTTTTCTCAAACCATTTCGAAAATTGTCGGAGATAATTGACGTGAAGGACTTGATTTCATGTAGTTCAGTGAAATATTGCTGAAATTAAATATTTACACTATTGGCCTGTACTCAAATTAAACGAACTCTATGCATAATTAATGTGTTTGTTCAATTCATTTCAGATTTGCCAAAGCAATCAATTTGCTTGTTTTTGTTTTTATTCTCGTTGCATTCTTTATGTTCTCTCAGTCATTTTCGGGGTCGGTAAAATGTATTACAAACATATCTAATGCATCCACTCGAATATGACATAAATTTCGATTTGTTTAACATGTGATCTAATCTTGTTGGTACACGATTTTTGAGAAATTTCATGCATTTTGAGTCAGTTATGTCAAGAGTTCGTTATTCATACGGTCTCGCACACTCATTGGAATGCCAAATGAGCATTGCTCACAAGAATTGAAACATATTTTAAATTATGGAATTTTCAATAGCAATAACATATCAGAAATTTCATTGAATAATAAGAAACGCACACATTCATTGAAACTCATAAAAACACCAAAACTCATTCAATTCGATGAAATGGGCAGAGCAGAACGGCAAGAGAGGCGAGAAAAAAAAAACGAATTGAAAATGAGCTCGAATTTGCATGCGTAAAATTGGACATGAACTTTTTTTTTATTATATCGATGGTTGAAAACGACCAGTCAGTATGCACTGTTTCACATAGGCAAAATGGCATTTATACATGGGTTTACATTTGCATTTTGGTAGGAGCAGCAGCAGCAGCAACCAGAAGTAAATTGCAACCGTGTGGTTCATACTACACGCCTGTACATTTGCCTGAATTTTTTTTCCATTTATCGTGGCGCGATGCAATCATATCGATCTCTCAGTGGCTTTGACTGAACACGACCCGTAAAACACAAACACATGCAAAAAAAACAACAAGAACCAAATTGGTTAAATAAATATGCTAATAATAGTGAGTATTTAAATAAATACGCATCGCCGCAGCCAAAAGTGCGAGAAGTGAGAATGCAAAATAAAATCTAAAAAAAAGAATTCAACAAAAAAATACTGTAGTATAATAAATACGTACATATGTCTGTTGACTGCAACACTACACCGCAAACATGAAAAAACACATACGAGACATGGTCTCTTTTAGTCTCACCCGCTCTCGATTTTTTTTCTACTCTCACTCTTTGTGGTTCATTCGAATGCTTTTTGCATTTTTTCAAATAAATTCATTTACATTAGCGCATTACCATAGCTATCGCATAAAGTTAATTTCGATTAACGCAACTAGAGAGAAACGAAAAAAAAATCTATACCATCATAACACACACAACAATAATGCACATACTATGTTTAGCCGTAAATTAAATATTATTAAAATGAAGCTAGCTAGTAACTACCGCAGCAACTAACAAAAACCATATAAATGTTATGTGATTTGCATTCGATTGTTGTTCATCATTCAGTTTTTGTAATTTTCTCTTTACCAAGTTCAGTCGAAACAAGATAAAGAGAGAAAGAAAAAAAAGAACAAAAGGAAAAACAATTTGCGATCAATGTTTAGCACTTAATAATTTTGCTAACAATGAATACGTTTTTTTTTTTTTTCGATCACATCCCTGGAGAACCGATTGCATTCCTTTTTTTTCAACTCTCCTCTTTGCTTACAGCAAACCATATGCGCTTGACATTAGCAATCAAACAAAGATCAAAAGTGGCTGCAAGGTGTCTTACTATTTATAAGTTTAAACTCCTTGTCGGTCTCCCGCTCTCAATTTCTCTTGCAGCTTTGAGCAGCATAAAACCGAGAGTTCTTCGTCAGTTTCTGAATGCAATGCAATGCGAGTGCACACATTGTGTGTAACATTGGAATCGATTGAAGGACGATTCACAGACAAAAAAACGTTGGTAGTTGGTCGAACGTTGGTTTCTATTTCAGAAAGAAAAATTGCCACGAAATATTTTATATTTCGTATCAAGCTGAGCGTATCTAGCTGGTTATTCGTTTGTTGTTTTTTTTTTTTGTATTCGCTTGTGTGCATGAAACGCGAATTATTTTAATGGGCACATGAATAAATGGGTCTCGACTTTGTTATTGTAATTGAATGCCGATGGCAGTGCACTTGTTGTAATTTCAGGTACGTTTCTCGGAAATCGAACGCTCGAAACCGATTCAACTTTATACAACATATGCTTCATTTTGCATTCATTGTAATATGTGCATGGTATTCAGTTTCGAATGTTGAGAAAAAAATACACTCACATACACCAAACAAATTGCATTTTTTCCCTTTTATTCACAAATCTCCTTTTATTTTCAAATTTCATTTCTCTTCTTTGAAATTTCTCATAAGCATAGAAAAAGTTGATTTCTCCAGAAGGAAAAAAAAGCGAATTCCAATTTGAACGACGATAACAATCGGTTCGCAACGAATGAATTCGAAAGCGACCTTGTGTTTGGGGTGACGCTTAATTTTGTTTTGACAGGGGACGAGTGCACGGATTTTGTATATGAAAAAGTTTTAAATAATTTTTCAATGAGTTTATACACTCATAGAGAACGACATATGGAATCAAGAGCAAGCAACAAATTAGAGCATAAAAATCAAGCGGAACGATGTGATGAAAACAGAGATGTCATTATTACATAATATAGCATCTTCCCTAGGCTACATCAGTTCATCGGGCTGTGTGTGTGTGTTTTTTTTCCTTCTTTGAAATCAATGTTTCTGTATGAGAGTGTATTGAAGTAGAATGTAATATCGAAACAAACACCGATGCACACGCACACACACAATCACAGGCTCAAAATGAAAGCAATGGCCATATTAATTGATATGTCATCAACATATGTTACCAGTTTATACCACACAGACGTTTCGGATATCGCCTGAATTCAATCGAATTTCATGATTCCTTCTGCTCTTCAATCCGGTATGTGCTGCATTTTGACTATTGATTTGCTTTGCTGTTTCCACTGCCGCTCATATGGAGCTTGTCTCTCTGTCATACTTCGATTTTAACCTATTTCACACATTCAGCACTCACTCGCACATAATTTTCGGATGAAATATCCTGAAATTTCAATTGTAATGCGTCCCGATTCGTGTTAGAATGTAATTTGGTACCATGCGT